ATAAAACCAATATTTTAAATATATACAAAATTTATCTGTATTTTTTTCTTTTAACATAAATTCATATGGACTGTTTTGTAACCTAGACTTCATAGCTTGAAATTTATAATATATATTTTTTACATTTTCGTCAATAGTTTCACTTTTCTCTAATTGGGCGCAGAAATGCCAACTACCCTGATCATTATAACATCCTTTCTCAAATATTTTATAAAAATTCTTTAGTTCTTCATTTTTCATGAATTCATACTAAAAAGGAAAAAATATATTCAAAGAATATTTATGCAAATTTATAGTTTTAAGCAAAAAGTCGTATTCTATTGTGATTTTAAAAAGTATAACATATAGAAAATAGACATAATGTAACTAAAATAAAGGTAAATATATATTTCACCAATGAACCAAATGTAGCCGTGTTTTTGCATTCCAAATCATACATTATTTATTAAAATGAATATCCATATAAATTCATATATATATTTATATACAAAAATAGGGTATTTAAATATAGTTATTATGTGTAATTTTTTAATATTTTATTAGAGAACTAAGAAAAAAAATTTTAAATATAATAACATCATTTTATAATTTACCATTGATGTATGATAGCGGCATAAATCGTAATATATTCTTAAAAAAATAAATGATAAAATGTGCATTACAAATATTATACCATATATATTATAATGTTATAACGAAAATTATATTTAAATAAAATTTATATAAACGAACAATTCCTACAATATAATATTCAGTACTGATATATATTATGTACAGTTTTCATTGTAATATGTTCCAAAGTTTAGAATAATAAGATTCATTTTTTACAAATGTTTTCTTTAATATTTTGGTTCAGTTCAAAATTTTATAATTTAAATTTTGCTTATAGTTGAATAATAACATATTAAGAGTTTGTAGCAATTAGGATGTATAATTTAAATAATAATAATTCATTAAAGACATGATTTATTCAATTTATATGTATTTTATTTAAAAGCAACGAATTGAATTCATAAATGATTAATCGTTGTACGAAATTTAACATGAATATATAATTCGATATATTTAGATATTATAATTGTGCATATATAAATATATTCTTTTATTATTAACATATATACACAGATTATCTTTTGACATATACATATTAAGAGGATCTTAGCTAACAAGAATTAATTATGTAAATAAATATAGGATCAGCCCTATAGTTATAAATAACATATATTATACATATTCAATTACATAATTAAATTGTATTTTTTTTGGTAATACATATATTAAGTTGAATGATTAATAAAACTATAAACTAAAAATTGAAAAAGATTAATTTTTAGATATAATGGATTTATCAGCGTTTTTGTATGTTTTTATTCATAATAAAATTTACATCACTACTATTGACATGTTTACTTTTCTATATATGTATTAAATAAATTAAATTTATTATCCTCAATATAATATATATTATGATTCTGAATATTAAATAAACAGTTTCTTAAATATATATCCCATTACACAAAAATATAAAAATGTATTTGTAAATGTATTAATTAATATTTCTTTGAATAATGTAATGAATATATTATTTGTAATTCCTATGCTTTGTTTTGATTAATTTCTTATTAAAATAACAAGTTTATAAACTATTAAGGTATGCATTAATTATGTCATGTTGTGAACAATAATAATTTACACTGCGAAATATATACTAGCCTATAAAAAAAAATACTTTATAAATAGTAACTACAAAATATTTTAATTTAAAAAATGACATAAAATTTGGTTAAAATTATTATATAATATTGGTATTATGCTCTAAATACATAGTAATAAATAGAAATAAAAGTTTTTTAAAATTAATTTCTCAACAAGAAAGAACACAGAATATTTACAGTTTAAAAAAAGGTTCTAAGTATCCTTTCATTGTGTGATTTATTATTATACTATTTTGACTATTTATAATAATAATAACAAATTCAGTGTTAATTTAATATATTTTTTATAATTTTTGCTACTCCTAATAGCTAACTGTAAAAGTTTTACTAACGAATCAATTTAACATGATAATAATACATATGAGCATGCTATACTAATATATAATATGTTTCTATTTATCATTCATAACATTTAAAATATTTATAAAGTATTTATAAATCAGTTATACATAATACATTTTTATTTTTTCAGTTTAACTATTTAAAATGAAATTCTAGTTTATGTGTCCAATTTTATTATCAAGATTGTTGGAAAATGATTAGGACTTTCTTTTACTTTTTAATGTTTATACTGCAATGTTTACTGTTTAATTTATTCTTTATATTTCATGGATATATATAATTATTTTTTACATGTCATAATTCATGCTTACGTTTATACTATTTATTTTAATATTTATATAACTATTTTCATTTTTTTTTTTAATTGAGCGTTTTCACATGTCAATTTGTTGTTTTTATGTTCTATGAAGTTTTTATTATATTAATATTATATTTTCATTAAATAATAATAATATTTTTAAGTTTTAAAACTATTAAAGTAACTATATAAATCTATGTCATATGACCTCATAATTTTTATGTGTTTTCTATTTTGCTCTTGGCTTGCATAAAATAATTAACATCCTTTTATGTATATACAAATTTATTATGCGTGCTCATATTATATATATCAAATATATATATAAGTAAAAAAAATTAAAAATTTGTTTATTATATACCATACTTCTATGAGGTTACATCTTTATTATGTTGTTATTCGTTATAAAATATAATATAACACTTTAGTGTAATTAGTGCAATATATTCATAAAATTAGTTTTTTTCAAATATCTCAATTCATTATTCATTATTATAAATACTTTACAAAGATATTATCTTACTTTTATATACATATTTACTTATTTTAAAATGCGTATTGCTTCAATTTAATAGTATTTTATTGTTTTACCTATATAGATATAATGTTCATTTAAGACGTGTTCACATGATTCTTTGTTTTCTTATACTACTTAATTTTTCTAGAGGGTATAATTATGCATTAATTTTTAATAATTTATCTCAGTATTTTAATAATATGAGTTATCGTATATATGATATAATAATTTTTATTCATATAAGTTTTAATGATCATATTACATCGTAAATAATTCAATATTAATATAAATTGGACAACATTTTTCATAAAAAATGTTGTATTTACTATGAATGATTAAGTAATAAGTATTTTTACATGTTAATATTAAGCATTACATTGTTTCATACAAAAGGTTAACAAGATGAAAATATATGCAAGCTCAGGTTTAATGTTTATATTAAAGAAGAAAATTTGAAAGTTAAAGGATAATGTATGTGGTTAAAATGTAAATTAAATTTCAGTAGATACTTAGATAATTATCTTTTTATAATGATAATTATGTATGATTTATATTAAGCAATTCCTTGTATTATTTATAACTAAAATATTCTTTAAGATGATAATTGTATTATAAGCTTTGTTCTACTTAATAACAGAAGGAAATATCCTATAAAAATACATGCATCACATAATAAATATGCTATTATTATTGGGAAAAATGCTTTTATTTTTTCAAGTATAATTAAAAAGCATTAGAAAATATAATTTTTATACGTTGACAGGTATTCTTCATATTATTAATATTGAAGAATATCATAAATATCAAAGAGATTATTATAATAAAAAAGAATATTCTATATAATTTTATGATACATTAAATAGACTATAATTTTTGAAGGATAAAACATTAGTACTGGGGGTTATTCATAAACTAAATAAAAATCCACGTAATCATACTATCCACCTATGTTTCTACGTAATTATGGTGGGGACTCTGTTGTAGGTTTATTATAATAAATTGGAATATATAATTACGCGAAAGAAATATACATATTACACGTGGTTTAAAATGTATGTTTATATAATATTAATAACGCAGATATAGTATATTTACATGTTGTAATATTTTATATATATATTATTTTCACCTTCACGATCTTTAATAAATTCACAAAATAGAAAAAATAAGAATATAAACAGAATTTCATTATATAAGGTTGTGAGGAAATGATCATCTATCATCAATTTTATATACATAGAGGATGGTAATCCAAGTATTGAATATATATTAGGATACAGTATTCCAACATATTACTAATTCATATATAATATGAAAGGAGACATAACTGATATAACTATAATAATGTTATGTATTAAACAGTACTTCATGCTAAGTGTACAATTTGTTGGTAGTTCTTTTTAAAAATACATATAACTATACTTTTTATTATGGAAATATATTTACATAAACATATTCCAAATAAAAGAGTTAATTTTATGGAAAAGTTATGCACATTTTTAGTACTATAATCAAATTTTGTCATACACGAAGAATTCATTTAACATTATTTTAACAGAATAAGGAATAAATTCGTTTAAATAAAATGACAACATATTACTAAAAAAAAGTATCTTTAAAAAAAAATATGAAAGTATGAATTATTAATAATTTTATTTTTTACTTAATCATTATTGTCTGATTAATTACAATATGAAATAAGGATGTGAAATTCTTGTAAAAATATATTTGGACAATAAATAAAGATATATGTATTAAAATATACGATACTTTTAATCAAATATATAGGAATAAAATTTAAAAATAATGATATATATATATTTTAGCATTTTTTTAACTCAAATGTTTACAAATTGTTACATGCATAGTCCACAAAAATGACATACACTATTCTATAATAAGTAAATGAACATTTAATCCTAAATATGATAAATTGAGCAACAAAAAATAAATGTCTTATAGTAATTCTCAATTTCATAATAACTGAATAAATTATATTAATATAATTATATTCAATTTATTTTGTTTAAAAGACATATTTAAGCTATAAATAAAAAAGACCTATCATGTTACCACTAATTTTACATTTGATTATTTTAGTGTCATTTCATTACGTAACTTATTCTATCAAAAATATAATGTTTAATCCAACAACTATATTAAAATTCTTGATATTTCCAAATGTTAACTTTTATTATATTTTTGATTTTTACTTATTAATGGGGAATTCGTGTAAATCAGAATATACGGAATTTATCTAACGAAATGTTTTCTTCTTTTCCATATTTCTAAAAGGAGCAACATTATAAATTTAACAATTAATCTAGTTAATCATCATTATAATGGAATAATTAATACCACATATTATTCTATAAAATTATGTATTACCATATTAATATACAATGTAGTAATTCTTTCGCCTAACATTTTCATATAATGACACATTGTGAGGAAAAGGTCTATATTGTAATTCTTCATTACAATTTTGAATTATTTTTTTCTTTTTATTGCATTTATGTAAGCATGGTCCTAATGCATAAATCTAAATAATTCATTAAATATAAAATTTATATGTGTCCATGTATATTATATAACTGCGAATTATTTTACTTAAAGTAATGTATTAATTCAAAGTATTAAAATTATTAATCAAAACTATATCTACCTGATAAAATATAAAAATAAGGATAATTGTTACAGATAAAGAGACACACAATGGTAGAACTATTTCTTTAAATGAAATATTTTTCATCATACTTAAGAATAATTTCATGACAAATGCAACTATACTGCTAGTCAGGCGTACAGAGCTCAATGTAATTTTTCCAATTTTCTGTGTTACTTCTATATATGTCAATATTTTTTTAACGCTTTCCTTGTGTTCTGAAACATTTATCCCACATAGGGTAGTTGTATCTTTTACACTTAATATTTCTTTTAATACATTTAAATAACAGTTATAATGGTAGATATCTAATAAATTCTTGAATTTATGTGGTGATGTATTTGATACTCCATTAGCTGATGACACATTCTTTTCATTACATTTTTTAAATTTGTCAAAAACTCCTGAAAGTTCACTATTACTAGAAATGTTATCACATGGACATTTATAATTATCTTCAGAAGCACTTTTAATCAAACAATCACATATATTTTTAATTTTA